ATTGCTGAAGTCTTTATTAATTTAAGATGTCCACCTGAGAGAGAGAGAAGTGGAGAGGGGCACAAGCAAGTCCAGTTCAGAGAGAAAAGATCCATACCAGTACAATGGCAATTTTATTTCTAGCAGGCTCCATGCCATCAGAGGTAGAAAGAAGTCTAATGCTGTTTTATCAGTGTAAATAGATAAGTCTGGGAAAAGCACTGAGTTTTTCCTTAGAGTTCAATGAACTAGCTTGAATCTGTGAGCCTCAGTGGCATGACAAGAGAGGATAATACCAACAGAATATGAAAGGAAACTGCTTGCAATATTATCAGTTGAATAAAGAATTATAGAATGAAGGTAAGAGTAGTGCCTTACTGGAGTTGAGTGTCCGTAAAGGATATTGCTGGTGTAAAGGATTAAATCTTTCTTTTTGCAGTTTGTGATACAATCTTTCTGAATTTTCTTCTATAAGTTGTGATGAAACTTGTACAGTTTATATGTATACATAAATAGCTGTTTAGAGTTTGGATTTCAAAATAGTGGCATGTGGGTGTCGGTTACATTTGTGAAGTTTTTCCTTTTTTTATAAAAAGTCAGAGGGCCCTTTCAGACCAGTGAGGTAATCCAGTCTCCAGACAGCAGGGGACTGTCAACGGGATCAAAGGTTACAGGGAGAAAACGGGAGAATAGGGTTGAGAAACCGAACAGCCATGAATGAATGGCAGAGCAGATGGGCCAAATGACGTAATTTCTGCTCTTACATCCTATGGTTTTATGGGAATGCAAATCCATGTGCAGTTAACATAAAGGTGTTCTGTTTATGATAGGTAGGGTAAATATGTAAGGGTATTAGCTTTGTTTACAATTTAGAAGAATCAAAGATTTTTTAATAAAAATATCAGTTCAGAAGTAAGATTTTCAGTCCAATTTAGAAGACACTAGTGCTGAGTTTCGAAGCCAGTTTAGGTTCTGTCCCAGAAGAAGGATTCAGGAAGTTCAGGGAACAAATTGTGTCAGTAGAAGTGTTTAATTGGTAAAATGTTCAAGCTAAGAACAAAGAACAAAGAAAATTACAGCACAGAAACAGGCCCTTCGGCCCTCCAAGCCTGCGCCGATCCAGATCCTCTATCTAAACCTGTCGCCTATTTTCCAAGGATCTGTATCCCTCTGCTCCCTGCCCGTTCATGTATCTGTCTAGATACATCTTAAATGACGCTACCGTGCCCGCCTCTACCACCTCCACTGGCAACGCATTCCAGGCACCCACCACCCTCTGCGTAAAGAACTTTCCATGCATATCTCCCTTAAACTTTTCCCCTCTCACCTTGAGATCGTGACCCCTAGTAATTGAGTCCCCCACTCTGGGGAAAAAGCTTCTTGCTATCCACCCTATCTTTACCTCTCATGATTTTGTAGACCTCAATCAGGTCCCCCCTCAACCTCCGTCTTTCTAATGTAAGTAATCCTAATATACCCAACCTCTCTTCATAGCTAGCGCCCTCCATACCAGGCAACATCCTGGTGAACCTCCTCTGCACCCGCTCCAAAGCATCCATATCCTTTTGGTAATATGGTGACCAGAACTGTACACAGTATTCCAAACGTGGTCGAACCAAAGTCCTATACAACTGTAACATGACCTGCCAACTCTTGCACTCAATACCCCGTCTGATGAATGAAAGCATGCCGTATGCCTTCTTGACCACGCTATCCACCTGTGTTGCCACCTTCAGGGTACAATGGATCTGAACACCCAGATCTCTCTGTGCATCAATTTTCCCCAGGGCTTTTCCATTTACCGTGTAGTTTGCTCTTGATTTGGATCTTCCAAAATGCATCACCTCACATTTGCCTGGATTGAACTCCATCTGCCATTTCTCCGCCCAACTCTCCAATCTATCTATATTCTGCTGCATTCTCCAACAGTCCCCTTCACTATCGGCTACTCTACCAATCTTAGCTTCATCTGCAAACTTGCTAATCAGACCATCTATACCTTCCTCCAGATCATTTATGTATATCACAAACAACAGTGGTCCCAACACAGATCCCTTTGGAACACCACTGGTCACAGTTCTCCATTTTGAGAAACTCCTTTCCACTACAACTCTCTGTCTCCTGTTGCCCAGCCAGTTCTCTATCCATCTGGCTAGTACACCCTGGACCCCATGCGACTTCACTTTCTCCATCAGCCTACCGTGGGGAACCTTATCAAACGCCATACTGAAGTCAATGTATATAACATCTACAGCCCTTCCCTCATCTATCAACTTTGTCACTTCCTCAAAGAATTCTATCAAGTTGACAAGACATGACCTTCCCTGCACAAAACCATGCTGCCTATCACTAATAAGCCAATTTTCTTCCAAATGTAAATAGATGCTATCCCTCAGTATCTTCTCCATCAGCTTCCCCACCACTGACGTCAGGCTCACCGATCTATAATTACCTGGATTAGCCTTGCTACCCTTCTTAAACAAGGGGACAACATTAGCAATTCTCCAGTCCTCCGGGACCTCACCCGTGCTCAAGGATGCTGCAAAGATATCTGTTAAGGCCCCAGCTATTTCCTCTCTCGCTTCCCTCAGTAACCTGGGATAGATCCCATCCGGACCTGGGGACTTGTCCACCCTAATGCCTTTTAGAATACCCAACACTTGCCCCTCCTTATGCTGACTTGACCTAGAGTAGTCAAACATCTATCCCTAACCTCGACATCCGTCATGTCCCTCTCCTCAGTGAATATCGATGCAAAGTACTTATTAAGAATCTCACTCATTTTCTCTGACTCCACGCGTAACTTCCCTCCTTTGTCCTTGAGTGGGCCAACCCTTTCTCTAGTTACCCTCTTGTTCCTTAAGTATGAATAAAAGGCTTTGGGATTTTCCTTAACCCTGTTTGCTAAAGATATCTCGTGACCCCTTTTAGCTCTCTTAATTCCTCGTTTCAGATTGGTCCTACTTTCCCAACATTCTTCCAAAGCTTCGTCTGTTTTCAGTCGCCTGGACCTTATGTATGCTTCCTTTTTCCTCTTTGCTAGTCTCCCAGTTTCACCTGTCATCCGTGATTCCCTAATCTTGCCCTTTCTATCCCTCATTTTCACAGGGATATGTCTGTCCTGCACTCTAATCAACCTCTCCTTAAAAGCCTCCCACATATCAAATATGGATTTACCTTCAAACAGCTGCTCCCAATCCACATTCCCCAGCTCCTGCTGAATTTTGCTATAGTTGGCCTTCCCCCAGTTCAGCACTCTTCCTTTAGGACCACTCTCGCTTTTGTCCATCAGTATTCTAAAACTTACGGAATTGTGATCACTATTCCCAAAGTAATCCCCTACTGAAACTTCAACCACCTGGCCGGGCTCATTCCCCAACACCAGGTCCAATATGGCCCCTTCCCGAGTTGGACTATTTACAAACTGCTCTAGAAAACCCTCCTGGATGCTCCTTACAAATTCTGCTCCATCTAAACCCCTAACACTAAGTGAATCCCAGTCAATGTTGGGAAAATTAAAATCTCCCATCACCACCACCCTGTTGGTCCTACATCTTTCAATAATCTGTCTACATATGTGTGCCTCCATCTCACGCTCGCTGTTGGGAGGCCTGCAGTACAGCCCCAACATTGTTACCGCACCCTTCCTATTTCTGAGCTCTGCCCATATTGCCTCACTGCTCGAGTTCTCCATAGTGCCCTCCTTCAGCACAGCTGTGATATCCTTTTTGACCAGTAATGCAACTCCTCCGCCCCTTTTACCTCCCTCTCTATCCCGCTATAAGCATCTATATCCTGGGATATAGAGTTGCCAATCTTGCCCTTCCCTCAGCCAAGTCTCAGTAATAGCAATAACATCATACTCCCAGGTACTAATCCAAGCCCTAAGTTCATCTGCCTTACCTACTACACTTCTTGCATTAAAACAAATACACCTCAGAGCACCTGTCCTTTTGCGTTCATCATCTGTTCTCTGCCTACTCTTCCCCTTAGTCACACTGACTTAATTATCTAGTTCCTTACAGGCCTTAGTTACTACCTCCTTACTGTCCACTAACCTCCTCATTTGGTTCCCATCCTCCTGCCACATTAGTTTAAAGCCTCCCCAACAGCGTTAGCAAAAGCACCCCTAGGACATTGGTTCCAATGCTGCCCAGGTGTAGACCGTCCGATTTGTAATAGTCCCACCTCCCCCAGAACCGGTCCCAATGTCCCAAAAATCTGAACCCCTCCCTCCTGCACCATGTCTCAAGCCACTCATTTATCCTGCCTATTTTTTCATTTCTACTCTGACTAGCACATGGCACCGGTAGCAATCCTGGGATTACTACCTCTGAGGTCCTACTTTTTAACTTGGCTCCTAACTCCCTAAATTCTGCTTGTAGGACCTCATCCTGTTTTTTACCTATATCACAGGTGCCTATATGCACCACGACAGCTGGTTGTTCACCCTCCCCCTTCAGAATATCCTGCAGTCGATCCGAGATATTCCTGACCCGTGCACCTGGGAGGCAACATACCATTCGGGAGTCTCGAAGAGTTAGAAATCTGCAGCTTACTAGAACTGAGAACATTTGCCCAAGGAAGCTGTCAGGTAACAGTTAAATACAGCCCTAGAGAATTGAGATAGGGATATCATTTCCCTGGACTAAATGTATAGGGGTTAGGTAATTGTTTGAAACTTTCTTTTAATGAATGTTTTGAGATAATTTTCACTGTTTTCTTTCATTTTGTGTAATAAACTTCTGTTTTGTTGTTCTCTGTTGAGGTAAATCAGGTGACTGACCAGCACATTAAACAAATTGGAAATATAAAACTAATGGTTTATCAAGTCAGAATGCTGGGATCTGACTTCTCCATTTTACCATTAACTGGGAATCATAACATCACTTTTCTTGTTAGATCTCTTGGTGAAACATATTTTGTTTTCGACTGAAATGACTCTAAATTAAAGATGCTAGTATAACAGCTAATTTACAGTCAAATTGTGAAACTCAACCTTCTTTTCTATATACACACAGGCATTAGAGATTGACCGAACCAATGAGAAAGCACTATACAGACGTGGCGAAGCAAGGCTTTGCGTCAATGAATTTGATTTGGCAAAGGCTGACTTCCAGAAGGTGCTACAAGTCAACCCTGAGAACAAGGCTGCAAAAGCTCAAATTGTGCTGTGTCAGAACAGAATAAAGGAGCACCATGAGCGGAACAAGAAGATTTATGCCAACATGTTCCAAAAATTTGCAGACAGAGACTCGAAGGTACAGAAGATATTCCTGGAAATACGTCCAGGGAAATTTTATTTGGGTGGAACTGAGAAATAATAAAGGGATGGTCACCTTATTGGGATTGGACTATAGACACCCCAATAGTCAGCAGGAAATTGAGAAACATATTTGTAAGGAGGTCTCAGTTATCTGTGAGAATAATAGGGTGGATATGGTAGGGGATTTTAACTTTTTAAACATAGACTGGGACTGCCGTAGTGTTCAGAACTTGGCTGGAGAGAAATTTGTTAAGTGTGTACAACAAAATTTTCTGCTTCAGTATGTGGATGTACCTACTAGAGAAGGTGCAAAACTTGACCTACTCTTGGGAAATAAGGCAGGGCAGGTGACTGAGGTGTCAGTGGGGGAGCACTTTGGGGCCAGTGACCATAATTCTATTAGTTTCAAAATAGTGATGGAAAATGATAGACTGAATCAAAAAGCTAAATTGGAGGAAAGCCGATTTCGACGGTATTAGGCAAGAAATTTCAAAAGTTGACTGGGAGTGGACGTTCTTAGGTAAAAGGACTGCTGGAAGCATTCAAAAATAAGATAACAAGAGTCCAGAGAGAGGATGTTCCTGTTAGGGTGAAGGGCAAGGTTGGTAGGTGTAGGGAATGCTGGATGACTAATAAATTGAGGTTTTGGTCAAGAAAAAGAAGGAAGCATATGTCAGGTATAGACAGCAGAGATCGAGCGAATCCCTAGAAGTGTATAAACGCAGTAGGAGTATACTTAAGAGGGAAATCATGAGGGCAAAAAGGGGACATGAAATAACTTTGGTAAATAGGGTAAAGGAGAATCCAAAGGGATTTTACAAATACATTAAGGACAAAAGGGTAACTAGGGAGAGAATAGGGCCCCTTAAAGATCAGAAAGGCCACCTGTGTGCGGAACTGTGGGAAATGGGGGAGATACTAAACGAGTATTTTGTATCAGTGTTTACTGTGGAGAACGATATGGAAGATAGTAAACATGAGGAAGAAAATAGCGACATCTTGGAAAATGTCCATATTGCAGAGCAGGAGGTGCTGAATATCTTAAAATGCATAAAGGTGGATAAATCCCTGGGACCTGATCGGGTGTACCCTAGAACTCTGTGAGAACCTAGGGAAGTGATTACTGGGCCCCTCGCTGAGATATTTGTATCATCAAGATCCACAGGTGAGGTGCCAGAAGACTGGAGGTTGGCTAATGCGGTGCCACTATTTAAAAAAGGTGGTAAGGAAAAGCCTCAGAACTATAGTCCAGAGAGCCTGACATCAGTGGTGGGCAAGTTGTTGGAGGGAATCCTGAGGGACAGGATTTACCTGTATTTGGAAAGGCAAGGTCTGATTAGGGATAGTCAACATGGCTTTGTACGTGGGAAATCATGTCTCATTATCTTGACTGAGTTTTTTGAAGAAGTAACGAACAGGATTGATGAGGGCAGAGCTATGAACGTGATCTATATGGACTTCAGTAAGGGATTTGACAAGGTTCCTCATGGTAGACTTGTTAGCAAGGTTAGATCACACAGAATACAGGGAGAACTAGCCATTTGGATACAGAACTGGCTTGAAGGTAGAAGACAGAGGGTGGTGGTGGAGGGTTGCTTTTCAGACTGGAGGCCTGTGACCAGCGGTGTGCCACAAGGATCAGTGCTACATCCGCTGTTTTTCGTCATTTATATAAATGATTTGGATGTGAACCCAGGAGGTATGGTTAGTAAGTTTTCAGATGACGCCAAAATTGGAGGTGCAATGGACAGTGAAGATAGTTATCTCCAGAGTACAATGGGATCTTGATCAGATGGGTCAATGGGCTGAGGAGAGGCAGAAGGAGTTTAATTTAGAAAAATGTGAGGTGCTGCATTTTGAAAAGGCAAATCAGGGCAGGACTTGATGATAAGGTCCTGGGGAGTGTTGCTGAACAAAGAGACCTTGGAGTGCATGTTCAGGTAGACAGGGAGGTGGAGAAGGCATTCAGTATGCTTGCCTTTATTGGTCAGTGCATTGAGTATAGGAGTTCAGAGGTCATGTTGCCACTTTTCACGACATTGGTTCGGCCTCTTTCAGAGTATTGCATGCAATTCTCTTCTGTCTGCTATAGGAAGGATGTTGTGAAACTTGAAAGGGTTCAGAAAAGATTTACAAGGATTTTGCCAGGGTTGGAAGGTTTGAGCTATAGGGAGAGGCTGAATAGACTAGGGCTATTTTCCTTGAAGCGTTAGAGGCTGAGGGGTGACGTTATAGAGGTTTATAAAATCATGAGGGTCATGGATAGGGTGAAAAGCCAAGGTCTTTTTCCCAGGACAGGGGAGTCCAAAACTACAGGGCATAGGTTTGAGCTGAGAGGGAAGGATATAAAAGAGACCTAAGGGGCAACTTTTTGATGCAGAGGGTGGTGCATGTGTGAAATGAGTTGCCAGAGGAAGTGGTAGAGGCTGGTACAATTACAACATTTAAAAGCCATTTATCATGACATCATGACATCCCAAAGCACTTTATAGCCAATTATATACTTTGAAGTGTGGCCAGTGTTGCAACGTAACATTGCTGCTACTTGGTGTTCTTTAGAAACTCTCATCATGAGCATTCTGCCAATGCAGTAACCACTCTGTCCACTCACATGTTAGCCAAGCGCCTACATCATTGGTGGTTATCCTATCTCCATGGATTGGAATGCGTTACGTAGCCAAACACTTCCATGGGGTGTGGGGGGAATGCTGCACCATCAAAGGAGAACATAGAACATTGAACAGTACAGCACAGGAATGGGCCGTTCGACCCACAATGTTGTACTGAACACAACGCCAAATTAAACTAATTCCTTCTGCCTGCCATCATCTTAAACCAAATCAGTCCGACGTAAACACAGCACTATATGAAGAAGTGTTTAGGACTTACACCCTGTTTGCTGGCTAGAATGTTGACTCCATTAAATATCACTGAAAAAGAATATCTAATCACTTTCTGAAGAAGAGTCCAGACCTGAAATATCAGCTTTGCTGCTCCTCTGATGCTGCTTGGCCTGCTGTGTTCATCCAGCTCTACACCTTGTTATCTAATCACTTATCTCATTTGTGGCAGCTTGCTGTGCAGAAATTGACTGCTGTGTGTCCTATATTACAGCAGTGACTACAGGCCAAATCTTCTGCCCCCTCCTATGACATGCTTCAAGGTAGAGTTGGAATTTAATGAGTTGGAGCTCTGATGTATCTGAAACATGTCCCCTTTCTGACCATGATCAAATTGATTTGGGAGGGTAGTCCAATGGCTGGACTTCCTGACACCCTGCCAATTGAGATTTTTAAGTTGTCAATGATATTTATTACTCACTTATGGAATGTGGGCACTGTTGAATGGGCAAGCATTTATTGCCCATCCCTAACTGCCTTGCTGGTGATGAGCTGCCTTCTTGAACCACTCCATGGGTTGTAGGTTGATCCACCATGCAGTTAGGCACGAAGTTCCAGGATTTTGACGCAGTGACAAGAAGGAACAGGGATGTATTTCCAAATCAGGATGATGTGAAGCTTGGAGGGGAACTTGCAGGTGGTGGTATTCCAATGTATCTGCTGCCCTTGTCCTTCTAGGTCATAGAGGTCACGGGTTTGGAAGATGTTGTTGAAGGAGCCTCGATGAGATACTGCAGTGCATCTTGTAGATAGTACATACTGTTGTCACTGTGACAGTGATAGAGGGAGTGAATGCTTAAGTTGGTAGATGGGGTACCAGTCAAGCAGGCTGCTTTGTCCTAGATGGCATTGAGAGTCTTGAGTATTTTGTAACTGCACCCATCCAAACAAGTCACCAATATTCCATTATACACCCAACATTTTTCTTGTAGATGATGGAGAGGCTTTACACTGTTGGGGAGTGACTATTCACGACAGGATGTGGCAAGATTACAGGCATTAGATCTGATGCATTTGTCATGGGATCACATAGCCCTGACTATCACATGCTGTTTCTGCTGTTTGGTATGGGAAGAGGCAGTAAGTGGAAATCCTCAGGAGGTCTGGAGTCAATGTTGACAGCTTGCAGGGCAACTCCCTCCTGAACATATGCCTCTGTGTTGCTACCCTAGATGTAAGGAAGCAAATATACACTCAGGGAATAGTGCTGGTAGTGCCTAGGATATAATCTGTAAGTATGATTTTTTGAGTACGAATGTGTCAGGCCTGCTAGTCTGAGAGACAGCTTGCCCAACTTTGGCTCAGATTCCCAGACCTTGGTAAGCAGAACTTTGCAGGGTTGACAGGACTTTGTTTGCCATTGTCATTTGTGGTGCTTAACTGTAAACTCAGTGGTCCAGGTTGATACAACGATGCCACCCGAAAACTGGAAGAACAGCACCTCATATTCCACCTTGGAACCCTACAACCCAATGGCCCCAATGTGGACTTTACGAGCTCAAAATCTCCCCACCCCCGACCTCATCCCAAGACCAGCCCCCCACCCCCTCATCCCTGCCTCCTTGGTCTGTCCATCTTCTCTTCCACCTATCCGCTCTTCCCACCTCACTGACCAACCCCCAGCCCCACTTCCCACCTACACTCACCTTTACTAGCTTCACCCCCACCTCCTTGACCTGTCCATCTTTTCTCCACCTATCTGCTTCACTATCCACCTTCTATCACTGCCTCCCCCTCTCTCTATTTATTTTAGAGCCCCCTTCCCCTCCCCCATTTCTGAAGAAGGGTCCCGACCCGAAACGTCAGCCTTCCTGCTCCTCTGATGCTACCTGGCCTGCTGTGTTCATCCAGTTCAACACCTTGTTATCTCATGTATGATACAGCTGAGTGGCTTGCTGGACCATGACAGAGGGTAGTTAAGAGTGAGTGACATTAGTGTGGGTCTGGAGTCATGTATAGGCCTGACCTAGTAGGGATGGCAGATTTCCATCTTTAAAGAACATTAGTGAACCACTTAAAGGCCTCACCCTGACACCATTAGTATCAGTGCAGTAGTGAGCGGGCATGTCATGCATGCTGTATGTTATACTGTGTGGCCAGCTTGATGTTTTCCAGATTGGGTAGACAAAGGCAATGTGTGTCTGATTAAGAGATCTGACATTGGGAAGGTAGGGCCTGGAGAAAGCCATCCCTCTGCCCTTACTGCCAACTCCCCCATACCACTCTCACAGTAACCACTGCTCCATGGCTCATGGCCAAGTAGTCCTTCTAAAAAGAGGTAACTTGGGTCTCTTGTCAGAAGACAAGAAGGTTCTGCCCTACATTTCAGAAGTACTTCATTGGCTGTAGAATGTTTTGTGATGTCCTGAAGCTATGTAACGTGCTGTACAAATGTAATGCTTTTCCCTTAGTCCTAAAGGCTTCAACCATGTGCTTGAGACAGAGATCAGTGCATCTTCTAAAGGAAGAATAGATAGAAGCACAGACAAACAGAACCTTGGGGAAAGAGCAGAGCAATGGAGTTAATATTGAATTGCTCATCTCTGAATCTGAGCTGTGTTTAGAAGACCTCCCCAGGGTTTCCAGCTAACCTCCACTCTTCTGCTCATTGCATCCCAACTCTGACCCAAATCTAGCTTCTGATCCTCCCTCTTGTCCTAAGACCGTCTGCTCCTACCTCTTGTTGCTAGGATATAATTGGGCACTTTGTCCCTCCTACAACCATCCTATCCATTCATCATGTGTGAAACAAAACTCAGCCAACTTTAAGCAACCAGTTTTAATCAAATGCATTTCTTGCATAATTCATTTTCAGAAGCAATTGGCTAGTTGTAGTTTGCTTTTCTGTCACAAGCTTTGTGATGTAGATAAGCCAGTGTTAAAGCCCCAACTCTTGTTGCTACGGAACAAGAGATTGTAAGATTAATGTGCCTTCCTCCCACGGCCTCAATCCTAGCTGACAAATCAGGGAACTGAGCATCACTGGTGGTTAATTTTAGAATAGCGCATTGCAAGGACAATTTTGAGATTACTTGCCTGTCCACTTTATTCTTTCATGGAATGTCGACATCACTGGCAAAGCCAGCATTTGTTACCCAACCCAACAGTGGCATTGTGGTTAGCACTGCTGCCTCACAGTACCAAGGACCCGAGTTTGATTCCACCCTTGGATGACTGTCTGTGTGGGTTTCCTCCTGATGCTCTCATTCCCTCCCACAGTTCAAAGATGTGCAGGTTAGGTGGACTGGCCATGCCAAATGCCCATAGTGTCCACGGGTGTGCAGGCTAGGTGGATTAACCATCGGAAATGTGGGGTTACAGGGATAGCTTGGGGGGAGGGGGTCGTTGGTCTGGTTGGGATGTTCTTGAAAGAGACAATGTGGACCTGATGGGCTGAATACTCTGCTCCCACACTGATTTTATGACTCTTAAACTGAGTGGCTTGTGGGCCTGCGAGAGCAGACTGGATAAGGATGGCAGATTTCTGTTCCCTGATGATGTTAGTGAAGAATTGTGCGGTGAACAGAATGTGCAGCAGGAAGACATGTTCTTTGTGGTCTCAGTGACTCCTTCTAACCCCTTGACTGTGTCTTGCAGGGAGAAACCAGGAAATGTTCAAGGCAGAGGGAAAGGAATATATTTAAAGAAGTGGAAGAAGATCCACCTGAAGAAAAGAAAGCCAGAGAAGCAGAATGAAGGGGGGAAACATCTGGTACATGAGTAGGCTACAAACTGTACTCCAGCACATCAATGTAGGACAGTGCCCCATTTTTAAGAGGGCAATGAAATGCTTCCTGTCAAAGGAAGGGAACAAAAGGATTATTATAGTTGGAGACAACGACAAGTTCAGCAAGTCAATATGAGAGTTGTGAGTCCAAGCTTTTGCCAGGGAGCTGCAGTTATACTTCATAACCTTGAATGAAAATGTGTTTCAAATCATTCCAGAATCTAACAGAAATAAAGATTACAATTCGTCTGCTCTGGCTATTGTCTTTGAACAAAGAGATCAAATACTCCTGAGATAGAGCTCAATTGAGAATGGTGTAGCCTTCCATTTTGATTCACTCCCAGGTGTACATTTTCCCAGAGTAAGGCACAATCCCTATTCCTCAGAAACGTAGTGTTTCCATTTAAGGAGCTTGTTCCATTAAGTGAAAGCTGAGCTTCTCGTTATGTTTAAGATAGGAGCTGCCTAAAGAATTTCCACTTGCCCCCCACCATCCTCTGTATTAAGTGGCTTTCTGAAGTTATCATAACTGAAAGAGTCAGTGCGAATCACGGAAATAGTTTGGCACAATTTCAAATGGCTAAGGAGCCGCTGTTATTTACACACGCTTGGTTTTTCTGTGTGTTTTGAGAATAAAAAGCAGTTGTTTTTTATACTGAAAACAGGAGGAGGCATTCATGAAAAACACTTTCATCATGTGTCTCCAAATCATGTTTCACTGTGTACTCAGTGGCTGTCACCATTCTGAATCCAATGTGGACTTTGAGCCCTTGGAGAAGATGGAATGGTCTTGTGTAATTGGCCTTGATCTAGTATCTAACCAATTAAACTGTGGCTGCTGCCATTCGATCAGATTCAATTTAACAATTTGTTTAGTTTGCAAGAATTCTATTTATTGGACTAAGCAAGGCACTGCGCTCTACATGAATTAATTATTTATATTGGTATCTTAAGCTGTTCCGTCAAAGAAACCTAAGTAAATAACAACTGTGTTTACGTATGTAGTGTTTTTAATGCAGTGAAATGCATCAAAGTGCTTTTAAGGGATGTAAGCACACAACCATTTACAGCAAGCTACTTAAAAGTCAGGAGGACCAGTTATGAAGATAGATTTGGGTTTGGAATAGTGTCTTCAAGGAAAACGCAGAGATGAAGACAGTTAGGGAGGGCAACATCAAGTTTAAAGTCTAGATTTGAATCAGAATCAGAATCCCTACAGTACAGAAAGAGGCCATTTGGCCCATCATGTCTGCACCAACATTCTGAAGAGTATCCCAGCCTGACCCACCCCCTGCTCTATCCCTGTAACCTTACATTTCTCATGGCTAATTCAACTAACCTGCACATCCCTGGACACTATGGGCAATTTCCCATGGCCAATCCAGCTAATCTTTAGACTGTGAGAGGAAACCGGAGCACCGGAATAAACCCACACAGACATGGGAAGAATGTGCAAACCCCACACAGACAGTCGCCCAAGACTGGAATCGAACCCAGATCCCTGTCGCTGTGAGGCAGCAGTGCTAACCGCTGAGCCAGCATGATGTCTTACTCACCATGCTGAAGCCATGGTGGGCTGGAGCAAATGGGTTGTTCATGAGCCTAAAGCTGGTGGAAGACAGGATTGGATGGTTATGGACTTGGAAGAGTTTGTGAGGGGTATGGTCATGAAGGGATTTGAAAACTGAGACGAAAATTTTAGAGCTGAGACATGGCTGGAAGAAATAGCCAGAAATAGCCAACGGGAGTAGGAGAGCCAACAGAATGCCAGTATTTAGCATGAGGGCAATTGAACGCAAAAGTAGGAGGTTATGTTTCAATTATACAGGGCACTGGTTACCAATTATAGAGTATGTGTACAGTATTTGTTTCCTTAGCTAAGGAAGGATACAAATGTTTTGGAAATCATTGAGAGAAGGTTTACAAGATTAATATTTGGAATCGGTGAGTTGTTTTATGAGGAAAGGTTGGACCGGCTGCACTTGTACTTGCTGAAGCTTAGAAGAGTAAGAGGCAATGTGATGAAAATAGATAAGATCCTGAGGAGACTTGACAGGGTAAATGTGGAGAAGATGTTTCCTCTTGTGGAAGAATCTAGAACTAGTGGCCAATGTTTAAAACTAAGGTGTCATCCATCTAAGACAGTAAAATGGAGATTATTTTTCACAAAGGTTCATGAGTCTTTGGAACTCTCTTCCTGAAAAGGCAGTGGAAACAGACTTTGAATATTATAGAAGGCAGAAGCGCATAAATTCTTAATAAGTAAGCAGCTGAAAGATTATTGGGACTGGGCAGGAATGTGAAGTGTTCGGAGCAGCCTTGATCTTATTGAATTGTGGAGCAAGCTTGAGGGGTTGTCTGTTCATATGTACATATGTATCTCCTACTTATCTAAAAGGTAGCTAAACTTACCTATAATAGTGGTATCCCTGCGATCAAATAAGTCATTTTAATTTAATGCTGGAGAAATGTAATGAGGTAGGGATAAGAAAAAAGAGATGCACACCAGATGTCACCAGTGCCAACAAAATTACAAAGTGTGTTTCAACAAGTTTACCAACTTGCTAACACATGGCAAAGCTTCCGGGATAAATTCAAATTGTTTCCAGTGCTCAGGAATGCAAACTTACATTGATGGCAAGGCTACCTGTGACAGGGAATGTTTTGTGATTGAATATTAATTGGCATTCTGATTGATGTATTGCTGAGGGTAACATTTTATTAATCTCAAAGCTCATAACACGTTGACTTTCTTCCATTCATTCTTGGGTCAGGAACATTGCTGATAATTTATGGCTGGGACCTAATTGCTGCTCTACCTCCCAATACCCCCTACCACCAAGTAGCATCTGCAAACTTAGTGATTGATCCCATTAGCTTGGAAGGCCATTTCCCAGGGCAGCTCAACATAAACGCATTGCTGAGTTAACATATCGGGTCCAGTGACCCTTCCTCAGAAGGGTCATCGGACCCGAAACATTAACTCTGTTTTCTCCTTCACAGATGCTGCCAGACCTGCTGAGCTTTTCCAGCAACTTTGTTTTTGTTCCTGATTTACAGCATCCGCACTTCTTTTGGTTTTTATAAACACATTGCTGTGGGTCTGGAGCCACCAATAAGCAAGATGGATTGACAACAGCAGACTTCCTTCCCAAAATATAATGAATGAAACAGACAGATTCTTAAAATAATCTGGTGGTTTCATTATTGATGGCACAAATTTATTCAATATTACTGAATTCAAATTCTCCATCCACCATGTTGATTTGATCACACACCTTTGTAGGATGTTTTAAATCAGCCTTTTCATACATCTTATTACACATCCCTGCAGCAGCTGAGACTGGAGCTTGGGCCTCCTGGCTCAGAGATAGGGACATTACCACTGCATCTCAAGGGCTCCCCCTACATCTTTATTTTATTAGTGTAGGCCTCTGTATTCCTAAACCAGTACATAAACATTACAATTGCAAAATTAAAAATGAGAATAGAAAGGTTTTTTTTGTGCTGGTTTAACTACAAAATACCCTTATGCCTGTATTTCATGCCCTTCCTTCCTACTACTGTCCCCTCTTTGCAGAATTCCTGTTTTCAGGCGAGTTGTTTTGGAACTCTGAGAAGGAACGAGAAGCTCCTGTGTGTGTGACAGGGGGGAGGTGGGGAACATCATCAGGAGAGGGATGGTCTGGGCTACTCAAGCACAGACACTAGGCCATTGTTTCCGATCAGGCTTGGGGGAAGTCGGCAAATATACTGTCCTCGTACCAGTTCAACTCAGCAATAGCACAAAGAGCTGGATTGTTAAATTAGTGTAGGTTTCCGAACGGAGGCGAACAAGCACAAAAACAAATAAGGGTCAGTGTTTCCCATTAAAAGGGCCTATTAACATCCCATTTGCATATCAACTGGGATTTCTGGCGGGGGGCTCATGCCAACCAACGTGCTGAGCAAAGGACAGGAAGTGAGGTCATGGGGAGGTGGGAGACAAGGTGGTAAAGGAAATGGTGGAGATGCAGGGGGTGGAATATATATGATTCAGGGGTGGTGGGTGGTAGGGAGGTAAGGGATGAGGTAGGTAGATGGTAGGGAGGTGGGGCTGGAGTAAATGCAATGGTAGGGAGGTGTGAGATGGAGTGAATGAGATGGCAGGGAGGTGATGGATGCAGTGAGTGAGAAGGTAGGGAATAGAGTGAGTGAGATGGCAGTAAAGTGGGGGTTGGAGTGAGTGAGATGGTAGGGAATAGAGTGGGTGAGATGG